ACTGCTTCTTCCTGGACGTGAAAAAGGCATACGACACCGCATGGAGAAATGGGCTGCGGAAACAACTGTCCAAATACGGAATCAAGGGGAAAATGTGGAGAGTGCTGAAGAAGATGACAGAGTGTACGAAAAGCGCGGTCATGCTAGACGGAGAACTGTCAAAATTCTTCGACATTGAGCAGGGGGTCCCACAAGGTTGCACGCTGTCCCCAACATTGTTCCAGGTGTTCATCAACGATCTGTTGGAAGTCGTAGAGGCAGTCCGGAAGGGAGTAAAAGTAGGGGACACGGAAACGTCGGTTTCAGGAATGCTGTTTGCGGATGATTTTGTCGGTATGTCGGACACCCCTGAGGGACTGCAACTGCAAATTGACGCGGCGAAGAAGTTTACTGATAAGTGGAGATTGTCTGCCAACGTTCAGAAGAGTGCCGTCATGGTATGCAACGAGAACAAGGAGGAACCAGTAGAACATAGATGGAAGTGGGGGATCGAGGAGATTGCAGTAGTGGACCAGTACACATACCTTGGAGTAGAGATCGCAAAAGACTGCTCGTGGAATGCACATATGTCCGAGGTAGCGGAAAGGGGCAATGCACGAGCAGGGAAGCTACACCCAATACTCGCGAACCGGCACCGCGATTCACGCATCGAATTGACGGTTTTGAAGTGCGTAATCGTACCGCCGCGAGAGTACGCCGGAGAAGTATGGGAAGGAAGTAAGAAGGAAGTGAAAGAACTCGAGGCGGCGCAGATGAAAGCAGCGAAAATCATCCTAGGATGCTCCACGCGCACAAGTAATGCAGCCGTGAGGGCAGAATTGGGGATCCAATCCCTACGGTCGGGAAGAGACGCGAGGAAGCTGACCTGGCAGTATCGCATGTGCGGGATGGGAGAGGAGAGGTTGCCGAGAATTGTATGGGAGGCGAAGTGGGCAAACAAAAAGAGGGGTAGACAACCCACGGAATGGGTCAAGGTTGTAGAGGACGTATGGAAGGGGCTCGACATCGACGAAGATGAAACGCTGGAAACGGAGGGTCTACAGGGGTTCAAGGAGAAGATATCTGTTGCTTGTGCCGAGAGAGAACATAATCTAAGGAAAAATACCAAGGATAAGGAAGGTCTAGAAGTGCACGGAATGTTGAAGGAAGGAATTGGGTTCAAGGATTACCTACATAGACCAATGGATGCAGGAACGAAGCTTAAGGTCAAATTCAGGACCGGGGACAGAGACCTCGGAGGACGTCGACGAAGACATGGGACGGTAGACGACGAAGACGATGAGTTCAGATGTGATTGCGGCTTCGGTTGCTAAGACCGTGTTCATGTAGTCGCGGAATGTCCGTGGTACAAGAAGGAGAG